TCATATATATATATGCCTTTTGGTAATGGCAGAATCGTTACAATCAATGCAATTTACTCTCTTATAAAAGTGCTTAAGACTACAGTCTTCCTTACTCATCTTTTGCCATTTAACATTGGAAAATACGCACTCTCTGAAAGAGTAGGTCATCCCTATCCTGAGTGAGAAGATGTGGAAGCTGTAACTAATGCCCTCATCACCATCAGAATAAACTACTGCAGTGTTCTTTGCATGGGAGTCCCCCTGAAGACCACTCAGAAAGTGTAATTGGTCAGAATACAGCTGTCCATGCTGGCAAGTGAGACCTTCTGCAGCCATATATCATCCAAACTGCAGGCACTGCATTAGCTTTCAAGAGATTTTTCTGCATACTGTAAAAGTGATGGCTTTAACCTTGAAAGTTTTCATGACTTGGCTCCCGGATACCTATATGACTTCCTTCTCCAGGTAGCCTGGATCCAGTCAATATACTCCTCCCAGTTAGGAATGCTGTGTATCCCTTGTGTAAAAATAAAAATAAAATGAGATCATTAGTGATCCGTAGCCAGTGTTTCTCAATGATCAAGTCCTTCTCCTCACCCCTGTGCTTATTTGAAAAGCAATGAAAAGAGAACTGTTCCAGACAGGTTTTGAGGGACGATGTCACCTGGAATTGAGTAGGATTATCATTTTAGCTGCAATAATTTGATATGTTTTTGTAATTATATTGTGCCTTGTGTTTTATTACAAAAAAAAGCCATCTTAAAACACAAGAGTTAGTGGTATACCGATGTGATAAATACATCCAAATATTCTGTAAGAAAAGAGGTATTTTAATGGGAAAGATAACTTTATAAAATGTCCAGTATTTTATGTCATTTGTGGGATCAATTCTAAATATCCATACATTCAGTTGAAACCGATGACAACTGAGCAAAGGTTAAAAAAAACGTTATGCTGCTAGAATTGGTCTGGTTGTCTACAATTGAATAAAGAATAAATGAGATTATGTTGCTGGAGAAGTTTATAATCCCAAATGCTGAACCTTAATTATCATTTTTTAAGGATCAGGCTATTAAAAAAAAGTACAGATTAATTGCTTAGAGAAGCAGAACCAAGTTAATTACATCTGTTGTTTATTAGATATAGCTGACTTCTAGCTGCCTAAGAAGTCTCTCCTAGTTTGAAGTTATTTCTTCCCTTTTGCTAATTTTGTACGTGGTGATAATGTTCTGAGCAGGAATGCCATTGAAGGCAGATGACACGAGAAGGAAGAAATGATGGGGGTGGGGAATCGCATTTGTTTCTTTTGGATTTTAAAGTGAGATTACTCACCTTGAATGTTGCCTTCAAGGAGGTTGCACTTCCCTGAATTTTGCAATGCAATTCTCTATTCGAAGAGCAATGTGTAAAAAGATTACAAGAATCATAGCAAGTCTAGCATCCAGTATAAAATACGCAGAAAAAAAGTGTATATATTACTAAAACAAATATAAAAATTTTGTATTTAATATAACTATTAGCAAAATAATTACACAGGTAATAGTTTCACATTCATATATCCCAAATATCAAGAAAAAAGTTGCAGGAAAATTAAGTGAATTTTCAAGTCAAGGAGCATATCTAAAATTTAAGGAAAGGTGAGATAAACCAGTTTTTTCAAAGATGAGAAACTAAAAGAAACTGTGCTTCGGGCCCCATTTTATTACTTCAGGAGAGTGCTCATGCTTTGGATTATTCCATTGGTTCTTTATCCTTAGCATAGGAAAGGATTAAAAAGTACTTAGGAGCTTGTCATAAACAGTTGAATGGATCCAATGTGCAAGCCCCCCCCCTTTTTTTTAAGGGTGCTTGAACTCTAAAAATACAAACTCATTGAGTTGGATCCAAGTTTCTCTGGACTGGAACCAGATTGAGTGTCTTCTGCAGATGGAAGATCATTTTTAACTGTTTTTTTTTTCTGCACTTTATAGCCTTTAAAGTAAAGGTAAAGGTTCCCCTCGCACATATGTGCTAGTCAATCCTGACTCTACGGGGCGGTGCTCATCTCTGTTTCAAAGCCAAAGAGCCAGCTCTGTCTGAAGATATCTCCGTGGTCATGTGGCCAGCATGACTAAATGCCAAAGGTGCACAGAACGCTGTTACCTTCCCACCAAAGGTGGTCCCTATTTTTCTACTTGCATTTTTTACGTGCTTTCGAACTGCTAGGTTGGCAGAAGGTGGGACAAATAACGGGAGCTCACCCCATTATGTGGCACTAGGGATTCGAACTGCTGAACTGCTGACCTTTCGATCAACAAGCTCAGCGTCTTAGCCACTGAGCCACCACATCCCTCCTTATAGCCCTTATGTCTCCTGAAAATCTGTTTTGGACTTGCCCTTTTGAATGGTACAAGAGTTGATACTGGAGACTTAAGGAGGAAAGAGTTCCTGGGGAAAGCATCAGAATCCGTCCTTCAACAGGAATGGAGGAGAGGGAGAGAGAGAGAGAAAGAGAGAAGGGCTTTTTGTTCTTAGAGCAGCCCTTCAGGTTCCAGAATCAGAATTTAGTTATCACAACACATACAGGTAATCCTCGACTTACGATCACAACTGAGACTGGGACATCTGTTTCTAAATGATGCCGCCATTAAGTGAGACAGGACCAATTTGATGATCTTTTTTTGACCCAATCATGAGGTGAATCATGCAGCTGTTCAGTGAATCTCCGCTCCCTCCCATTGACTTTGCTTGTCAAAAGCCCTCTGGGAAAGTTGTAATGGCAATCGCATGACCCTCAGATACTGCAACCATTGTAAATAAATGCCAGTTGCCAAGCACCCCGATTTTGATGACATGACCCCATGGCCATTGCAAAATAGTCATAAGTATGAGGATCGTCAACAGTCACTTTTTTCAGCACCATCATAACTTCGAATGGTTGTCAAATGGATGGTACAGTCGAGGACTATCTGTATACAAACAGTGCATTTTTTTTAAAAAAAAAGGAATCTTGACTCTGCTAAACCTATAGAAATCTCACAGTGTCATGTTTCTTGTTTCCTGGACTTTGAAATGGCCATCCTGGCCATAAGATTTTAAATAGTGCAATTTGTATATAATTATTATTTTTTTTGTTCTTTTGCAGCACAAATCTAATTTGTCCGCCCTGAGTCCGAAAGGAGAAGGGCGGTATAGAAATTTGAATAATAAATAAATAAATAAATAAATATGTAAAGTCATTTCTTAATTCATAGCTTTGCTTCGATGAAATGACATTCTCCTGTCAAAAGTAACAACCCTCCATATCTTGCTTATTAGAACTGAAGAAATAGGATCAATGTTTTGGTTATGAATCCATAAATGGCTGCTTTGTTGTGCTGAAATGGAACAAAAACTTAGAGATTTTAAACACTGGAATTATATTATTTAATTAATATGCAATTAAATATAATATGTGAACATACGAAAGTATCAAATCCCTTTAAAGTGGTAGATAGATAGATCATCATTCTATTTGGGTCACAAGCTGAAAAGTACTTCTTCTTCTCAGCTTTTGCACTTCGATTGAGCTCTCCTTCGTAATAGACAGGTGATATAGGGAAGAAAGTAAGAGGTACAAGGTTCAGATCGTGCAGCTATTGTTTGAGAGGGAATTGCAGTCCCTCTCTTGGAGCTCAGCACTGCCTCTGGAGAGCCCGCAATGGTGTTTTAGAACTTTGAATATATATTTTTAAAAAAGCAAACTGCCAGTAAAACAGCCAAAAGGGTTTTCAGCTGCCCTCAAAACTCCACAACCAGCGGCAAGCATACTTTTTAACAGGGCTAATGCAAAGGAAGGGAATGACTGGTGGGATCCTCTCTTTGACTCTGCCAGGTTTCAGAGACATCGAAGAGTTGTTACCAGAGGTGGATTGATCATTTTCATAATCAGAGAAGGCAGGTTGTGTGTGCGTGTGGATTTTTCATCCCTTGAAGCAGATCTAGCAAAATAATTCATGTTAAGCAACCATTAGCAATCAAAGGAAGTGTCTCAGTGCAGGTTAGCGGCATCAAAGGAACTGCTGGTGCCAAGGTTGGAGCAAGGGAAGGAAGAACCAGATTCCTTGATCCTACCTGCTGCTGTTCCATTAATCAGGATCCACCTCCACAAGCAGAAGCATTCTTTGCTTCTTCTAAAAGCAGAGACGTTTAACCTACGTCAAGCTTGGTCTTCTGCGGCAAATAACAGATGTCCTGCTGCTTCCATAAAGCTTCCAATTAAGTGAAGTCAATTCTGTGCATCCCCTGTCTGCTCATTTTTCCTATATCAGGGGGAAAAAAACAAAAAACCCCACAACCTCAAAAGGAAGCTTTTCCTGGACCTGGCCTGAATCAGTGCTACCCAGGAGGGAAGGGGGACATAATGGGAGGATTTCCTCAGAAGCCAATGCAAAAGTAAGACACGTTTTTTGAAGAATTGCTTCAGCGTCATTAGTCAGTTTCCTTTGATAAGACAAGAGGATTCTTTCTTCCAACACAAGCTGGCTTCATGTCTTTAAGTCACTGAAACATACATCTTTTTTCATCCTACTCCCTTCACATGACTCATGATTCATTCCACTCCTCTCACATCGTGCCTTGTAAGGTTCAGTCTCCTCTCTTTCCAATGTCCTTGGAGAGCATAGGTATTCCATCTCAGCATAACCAGAACTCGTGCCCTACCCTCCAAAAGATAGGCTTATCGCCAGTGATGTATCAAATTAGGAATCCAACTCTGGACATAATCACTTTCTAGCAAGCTATAGTGTGTAGTTAGAGATCCAATTCTGATTATTTTGATCCAGCTAGCTAAATAAAAGAACATCCTGTGACCAATATCCAACATGAATGCCTTTACCCATATCAGTGCTGCCAATCAAATTTCTGATTATATTTTGATCTCCGTTGTATTACAGATCTAGTGCCAGTTTATTTGGCACCCGATTGAACAAGGAAATGATATTCCCAAACTATAGGCCAAGCAGCTTGGTTGTACTAAACTCTTACATTATCTTCATCAGGTCCTAAAGGGGTTTCCAGAATGTTTGCAAGCTGATATCTGTCTCCACCTCAACCAAAGCTTACTTCAAAACTGCAAAGCTTTCCAGGGTGCGAGTAAAGGGTGTCTCCGGGCTCTGGCTATGAAGTTTAAGACTACTCATGCACCTCCTGGGGACACACTAGTCCATTGTGGTGATGTTCTGACTGCACTTTACTTCCTTTCCCGAGGCTCCATTGAAATCCTCAAGAATGACATGGTTGTAGCAATTCTCGGTAAGCATTCAGAAATACCATTAATTCTGGAAATGTTTAACGGTTTGATCAGCAATCGTTCCTTTTTAAGAGCAGAATCGGTATTGCATATTAGAATGAATAAAAAGAGAATATCCATCAATCTCATACTGAATCCAATATGAACCCCTTTTCTTTTCATAAAATGTACATTCTGCAAAATTTAGAGAAAAGGAATACATGATCAAGTGCAGAAAAGCAGACAGAGCAGAGGGGTGGAGTTAAACATGTCATCATCTTACAGTCCTTGCATTGCCACAAACGATATAAGTCCAAGTTCTCTTGAATTCCGTTGTCCCTCATTTGGCACCAGATCAGAGTCAATAGAATTCAAGAGGGGTTGGATTTGGATTGCGGCAATGTAAAAACTCTAAGCTTATGACACATTTAACTCCCCCAGCTCTGCCTCCTTTTCTTCTACATCAAGCAGTTAAAGCAACCCTAGGCGCTGATTCTTAAGAAAAGCAACTTCTGTAATTTAGCAAAACAGAATTAAGCTTAAATTATATTAGGATCAGATGTGCACTACTACTATGCTAGTAGAAAAATACATCTCCACTGTCTAGATATTCCGAATAACAAAATAGAGAAAAGGCATAACAGTGATGAAACGTCAGTGCTCATCCTTTAGGGATTGCCAACAATTATTGCCATAATTTCCCACAAGAACCTGATGAATGCCTAATGGTAGGAACATGTTTCCAGCACACACCTCGACTTCTTCAGAACTCAACCATCCTTACTTTCAAAGGTTTGAATCATCATATGCTCCTCGCAAAGTTTTACAAGGCTCTTTTATGAGGATCATAAATAATGATCTCTAGAGGTAAAAGCCCAATGAATTCTGTTTAGGCAATAACAACCTTCCGCAGTAAATAGCATCCATTAAGTCAATGTGGGAAAAACTATAATGACAGCGGATTGTGTCATTCCGGTTGTTAGTGAGATTTCCAGAGAGGAAGAAAAATTTTTACAAGAAAAATAAATAACTGGTGGTTAAACAATCATTTTTAGACATTTCTGTCTTCTTTTTTAAGAAGAGAGAGACAAATGTGAATTCTTGTAATTACCATGCTTTTCTGTGCCATTATTGTTACAGGCAAAAATGATATTTTTGGAGAAATGGTCCATCTTTATGCAAAACCAGGAAAGTCAAATGCAGATGTGAGAGCACTAACCTACTGTGACTTACATAAAATCCAGCGAGAAGACTTGTTAGAAGTTTTGGATATGTATCCTGAATTTTCAGACCTGTTTCTCACCAATTTAGAACTCACTTTCAACTTGAGACATGAAAATGCAAAAGTATGTTAATTATAGTGTTTGGATATCTTTTCGTTTCCCAATAAAAATGAGATTTTTTCTTTTTATTCTGTTCAGTCCTGTCCGATCTCAGAGATGCCTGGACAAGTCCCTGCAATTTTCTTGACAAGGTTTTCCGAAGTGGTTTGCCATTCCCTCCTTCCTAACTGGATGAAATTAAGGCAAAAACAACATCTACAAATTGTCTAGAACAGGGGTGCCAAACTCGATTTCATTGAGAGCTGCATCAGGGTTGTGTTTGACCTCGGGGGGGCCAGGTGGGCATGGCCAGGGTGGGCATGGCCAGCTCAACGTCACTCGTGTCAGGGGTACCTGTGGTGGCCCGGGCAGGGCTGGTGGGATCCTCCTGCAGTCCCCTGCCAACGAAAACAGAGTTTGGGAGGGCCGCGTGAAGCCCTTCCGAGCCCCGTTTTCGCTTGCAGACTCACTGCGAGCCGGTCCTTCGCTGTTTTCAGGATGACCCTATGGGCCAGATCTAAGCACCGCGCGGGCCGGATCTGGTCCCAGGGCCTTGAGTTTGACACCCTTGGTCTAGAAAGATAAAAAAAGAAAGAAAAATGTGTTCTGTCACCATAATAAAAATAGATGATGAAAGATAAATATTAGCAAAGAAAAAAACCCTAGTAAAATTCTCTCCTTTTGCATTGCTTGTTTATTTTCATGATAAGGGACTAGAGCATGAAGAACATGGTGCTTGATCACAGATATATTGATCATAGATACATACATAGATCGATACATAGATACCTGTAGGAAAAAGCAGTTATACAGTAATATTAATATCCAGCAGAGAAAAGAACAGCAATTCTATTACATGACATATTTAGAAACTAAGCACATCATAAATGAGATTTTCCATGCCTCAATTTTTTGAAATAATGTATCCACAATCTAAAATTCAATCTCAGTAAAGACAATGGCTCTCTATCTCTCCCTCTCTCACCCTCTCTATTTTATCTATAATGTAATAGCTCTAGATTACTACCTAAATTATCCTAGTAGCCATATTTTTCTCATTGCTTGTAGTTCTGCTTCAGTTTGCATATAGTACATTTCTTCTTCTTTTCTGTTTCCATCATCTCAATTTCTAGACCCAATACAGGTTAGATGTATCCCCAACGCCTATTCAGGCAGCATAGTACCTTAGATGTTTCAGGTGGTCAAATTTGGATTCCAATAAGTAGCAAAATGTTAAACAGTGTTTGGCTGTTTTTCCTTAGACACCCACAATTTAAACAGCTTCTGCTCATATATAATGTGTGTGTGGGGGGAGGGGTTTGTTCATTGCTCCCTGCCATCTTTACTTTTATCAATCCTTGGAGTCCAGTTGGATACAACTTCCTCTCCTGAATGAGATTGTTCTTCATCTGAACATCCTGTCGCAGCCCCATTTCCCAACTTTTTCCCTTGCTACTTGAAAGCAGAAAGAAAAAAAGGAAGACTAACAGTCAGATACATTTTTAAGGCCCATTGTTAATCAGTTAAATGGGAATGCAAAAGAAAAGCTGCTTATAGTTCCATCTGTGACCAGCTGCTGAGGAAAACCCCAGTTTAGGCCCTGTATCCAGTTCCTGGCATCACCCATTTAAGCAGAATTCATTGGAATTGGAATAGGAATAGAATAGGGGTGTCAAACTCATGTCATCATGGGATGTATCGGGACTTTTCCCCCCTTCGCTAAACCAGGCATGGGCGTGGCTACCATGTGACGCATCTGGCCCATGGGCCAAGAGTTTTACAAGCCATGGAATAGGAGAAGGGTACTGAAGGCAATTAGACTAGAAATTATGAAGAGTAATTGAAGGAACTTGCTATGTTTAGCTATGAGAAAAATCAATTGAGAGGAAGTATGATAGTACTCTTCTAGTGTGATGTCACATAGACGATCATGACCTTTTTATCTCAGCATGCAGGATGCAAAAACATTTAATTTGCATTACAAAAAAGCAGATTCCAGAAGACGGTTAGAAAATGGTACCTAGCAGTAAAAGCAGGCTGATAGTGGAACCAATGACCTAGAAATAGGTAATCTCCCCTTCATTAGATTCATTCAGGCAGATACTAGTCAACCATGTATTGAGGATGGGTCCTGTATGGGTTAGGGTGTATGGGTGGTCCTTGAGAATCTAAAGATCACAGCAATCACTGAAAGATTCTAGGGAGGAAAAAGGTGCTAACTTTCCTTTTCGTCTCCAAACAAGGGGAAGAATATAAAGAATTGTAATATAAAGAATTCATGTCAACCCAAAAAGGAAGCAGAGTGAATTTACAATATAAATGCAAACGACATGATGAATGAAGGTCTCATGAAGTGAGAGTTAAATTATATATCTTTTTAAAACCCATTATTGAGGAGCACTTAACTAGACCTAGTAAAATCTGTAGAGTAACAGGGGAACATTAAAATTTTAATGAAGTGTCAGACAAAAAAGTTAGGTTAAACAGAAGTTCAATAACCATTTTGTACATCAGCTTTCCCCAATGTGGGTTCCGTCCATAGCATTAAGCAAAAGTTTCTAAAATTCTCAGCATTTCCTAGTTGGCTAGGGAATTTTAGAAGCTGAAGTCCATACATCTGGAGCTAGATGGGGAGTTCAGGGAGTTCATCTTAAAAATCCACACATCTTAAAAGTTGTCAGGTTTGAGAAATGCTGATCTAGAGGATATCTACATTAGGCAAAACTGCTATAAATTGTAATCTGTATTTTACTGAGCAGTGGGTTTACTAAATAACATGAGGATGACTTATTCTTCAAAGCACCTGAGGGTAGGACAAGAAGCAATGGGGGGAAGCTCACTAAGGAGAGATCCAATCTGGACTAAGGATAAATTTCCTGTCAAGGAGATTATAAATATTTTAAGTTATATAAGGCACTTAATCGATGGAGGTTTTCAAGAAAAGATTGGACAACCATTTCCTGCAAGTCCCTTGGACTGCAAGGCGATCCAACCAGTCAGTCCTAGTGGAAATCAACCCTGACTGCTCTTTAGAAGGCCAGATCCTGAAGATGAAACTCAAATACTTTGGCCACCTAATGAGAAGGGAGGACTCACTGGAGAAAAGCCTAATGCTGGGAAAGATTGAGGGCAAAAGAAGAACGGGACGACGGAGAATGAGGTGGCTGGATGGAGACACTGAAGCAGTAGGTGTGAACTTAAATGGGCTCCAGAGGATGATAGAGGACAGGAAGGCCTGGAGGAATGTTGTCCATGGGGTTGCGATGGGTCAGACATGACTTCGCAACTAACAACAACAAAACCTTGGACAGAGTGTTAGATAGAAGACCTCCAAGGTCCCTTTCCGCCCTACAATTCCGCCCTACAATGGCATCTACAGAGCTAGTATAATGTAATGGTTAGAAACTGGGAGACGATGTGTTTCTTTGTGCAAAAGGCAGCTGGTGACCTTGGGCCAGTCATTCTCTCTCAACCATAGGAAGGAGGCAAGGGCAAACCACGCTAAACTTCTCTAAGAACTTTTGCCTACATCTTTCCTGTATTGAGAAGACAGATGTGATCAGTCTTTCTTTTCTATCTTCTATTCTCTTTTGTTTTCTTGTTTTGTTTTGTTTTGTTTTGTTCTGTTTCTGTTTAGTGAAAAATGACTATGTATATCTCGGAAATTCTTGACAAAGAGCAGAAATAATTATTTGAAGAAATGGCACTTACCAAAATAAAAGTGGCTTTTTCAGCTATGAAAGTCACATCTCTGTCATTGCCTCAATGATAGAAGGAAAAATTAGAGAAAGATAAAAGAGCATATAATTTGTCTGCTTTATTGTTACGTAGATCAACTTTTATTGCTGTTATTGTGTAATTAAACATCATAGCTAATTATAATTTACTACTGCATTCCTGTCTGAAGTAATAAACAATCTATAAGAGGTTGTTTTCTTCACTAGCTTATTTTTGAGAACACTCTGTTTTAAAAAGAATAAACAACTTTAAATAGTAATTCAGAGAACAAGATGTAAAGGGGACTTTAGCATTCTAGTGCTTATATCAACATTTTTTTTAAAGAGACATCTCTTCAATATCACCCACACATCTATAAATTATGAGTGAGTCTTACTCAGAAAAGGAATTACTACTATTGTTTTTTTTGCATAGAGACAAAATGCTGGGCATTGGAATGTTCTATTCTTTCTAGGAGAAGTAGGAGAAAAACCATTTCACCAGCCCTCTGAATCAGTGGTGGAATTCTACCGGTTCGGACTGGTTCAAGCGAACCAGTAGCTCCGACGATGAGTTGGGAGCTAACCAGTTCACCCCAACGATCAGATGGGCCCACTTACCTTTATCTCCTCAGCTGATTCGCGCGGCAGAGCCAATTGTGTGACGCCTCCATAGAAACTCGGAAGTGAAGATTTCTTCAAACTGTGCGCTTGCACGAAGCGCACGATCACCAAACCGGTTGTTAAACCGGGAGGATCCCACCACTGCTTTGAATCCTCCATATCCTATTCTTTGTGGGGGCTAGGGAAACCTGACCCTCCAATAGTGTAGAACCATACTTGGGGCCAAGAAGAGAGATTACTTTCCATCCCCACTTTCTAAGATCAATAGCTTTCCATGGTTCAAAAGCTTTCTTTCTATAGAAGGTACCCTTCCATCTATGGACAGTAGAGATCTGAATCCATCTCAAAGTAAACTAACGAAGAGTTGTATAAATAAAGTCTTAATCTATCATATACTATATGGACATCTTCTTTTTCAAGGCTGATCTTGCAATAAGGCGACAGACCACAAATGATTCGGATGGAGACAATGGTAAACTCCGAAGAAGGAACTTGTCTTTTGAAAGTGACATGGATAAAGGTAAGGATGCCTTTATATACTAAATGATGCTTTATGAAAGGATAATCACATAAATCTATGCTAAATTTGTCTTAAGACTCAGAGATCATTATAGTCTGCTCAACATCTTAGTACACAGATAGAACCAATATCTTTTCACCTGGCAAAAATGCCTATTTGACTTACATTTCTTTTACTGCATTTCCATACACATTTACTTGGGAATAACTCCCATTGGGTTCAGTGGTGATTATTGCTTAAGTAGACATTATGTGCAATTTCAAGGTTAATGAAATTAAACAATTAGGGATTTATTTTTTTCCTTATTGCCCTTAGCATTCTAATCTGATGTATTTCTGAAAGGTTGATACAGTATAAAAGATGTTTTCCAAGTTGCCTGTACCCTAAAAGAAACTTTTAGCTCAGTATCTTATTGTTGATAAGTACTGTGTTATCTGTTTCATCAAAGGGCCTCTCTAAAGCATGAAGCCAAAAGAAAAGAGGCAACAAAATCTGTCAAGAAAATGCCTTCATAAACTATTTAAACTGCTCTTCCCTCCTCTTCCCCCATTGAGAAATTGTTGACTGAGATTATGTCCCTGGGTGACCTTCAGTAACTAAATAAATATTAAAACATGCTGAAAAAGAAAAAGTAACTTTCTGGCCTGTATCCATTATGAATTTTTAATAGATCTTTTTTTTCAGGATGCCACATAAATTACTGCTATGACTTCACTCCTCCAAGTGCTACACCCCTGCTGATCTACTAAGAATACTGAAAGTCAGCAAAAATTAACTCTTTGGTTTGACTCCAGATTTTCCCATCTGTAAAAGGAAAGACACATTTCATTTGTAAAACAAACAAATAAACAATATGAAACCATGAAGACTCTGTTGGAACAAGAACTATATCTCCACTATTTTGGGGAGGCAACCCTTCACTTCCTTTTCAGAGAACAAATAAATACCAAAATTGCTCTTGTTGTCTCTGCCTCCAGGAAGTTCAGTCTTGCAATTCTCATTTTGGTTTTTGTCTACTAGGCCAGGGGTCTCCAACCTTGACAACTTTAAGCCTGGAGGACTTCAATTCCCAGAATTCCCCAGCCAGGCTTAAAGTTGCCAAAATTGGAGACCCCTGTACTAGGCTGTGTAAAGTACAAACTATAGTATTTCACATCTAGACCAATTTTAGATCCTATCACAGTGGAGTACTACATAGTATAACCAGATGTTGGTTTTAATCTATAAAATCCTTTATAGTTTGATACTCAGATACGTGCAGGACTTTCTGCTCCATTCAATGTTGGCCAGACTGATTAGATCAACCAGGAAAAACCAAGGCATTTGGGACTTTCAGAAGGTTTTGGGGACTGAGACAAGGCAGCATGGTGAAATAGCCATCTCGTAGAGGATCAGGCTAGCTCCCTCTTTATTGTAAACTGTTGAAGACCGAGTTGCTCCGTAGAGCTTTCACCTGATTTGATGTTCCCATTTCAGCTCTTTATTCCTGTTTTATTTTATATGGTTTTACCTTTGCATGATCATATTATAATTCTGTTTATTTTTTCCACTGTGTATGGTTTCATTTGTAACTTTTGTGCATAAGCCACCAAGAGTCTTTTTGATTGCAGCATGGAATTCAATCAATCAATCAAATCCATAGGAACAAGCAAACAGCATATTAAAACTAAAATATACATGGTTAAATAAAATGCTTGTCCCTTGGAAGAGAGCCCTCTTGACTTAAGAGAAAGCTCTTAGTCCAGGGGCATTCCCCCTTTTAAGCGACCTTTGTAATCCTGAGGGAAATGATTTATTTGTTCAATTCATGTAGCTATCATGTTGTCAGGGTTCCAAGTAACACCCCCAACGAAAGAAAACTCCGAGGCTTGAGTTTCCTCAAAGTTACATTTTATTAGAGATGTCATATTGGCACATCTGGAAAAACCCAAATCTGAAAGCTTCTAGGTTCCCCTCCCCCAAGGAAAGTTCAAGTCCCCACCCAACACCCACAAGTCCATCACATGGTCCAATCAAAGCACCGTCCCAACTGGAGATGCCTCCCAGTTCCAGCCTTCCAGGTCCAGGGCAAGATGTCCTTGAACCTCTGAGAAAGGAATGTTATTATGACTATATATATCACCCATGCTCCATACAATCCCCCCTCCCAATTTGCCACAATAGTAAATGGGGCAGGTCTGAAGGCCCAATACAAAAGATGGCTTCCAGGCCTGGCACATGTAGCCAATGTATGCTGCTGCCTATATTAGGGTAAAATGATCCTAGGTAGCGAACCATCAGATACGGAAATAATAAAAGATACTAGGTTATAAATCCTCTCATGCTCCACCAACCTTATATCACTATCCTCCTAAATCACAATGCTGGCGGTATCTCCCATCCTGGCCCAAGGCCTGAGGGAAAAGGCAAGTGTTAACAGCCTTCCAGAGAATAGGGAACATCTGGATCTCAGATATCATGTAATGTTATTCATCCAGTCATGTCATTTTTAACTTTATAATGGAACAGATCCTTGACCCAAGAGGCTTTTAAATCTTTTTTAAAAATGGCACAAAGGAGACCACAAAACTAGGGAATTACCTAGAAGGGAAGACTTTGAGATTGTGTCAGTGAACAACATTTAGATTTAATTAGTTAAAACAGATTTATGCATTTTTCTTCTATTCCTGTGATACCCTTGTTATGAGGTCTTTTTTTTTTTCTTTTTAAGTATCAGAAGTTGAAGAGGGGTAGTATCTCTTTGAAATCTTAGCTTTTTTTCTCACTGCGATAGTTTCTATAGCAACTGTTTCTACATTGGCTTCATACAAAACATTGATAATGCATACTTCCTTTTATCCTTTACCTCTAGTACCTTGGCCACTTAATTTTCCAAGGATAAGACAATTAATTCAGCATTGCAGATTTTCTTCATAAGAAATGTTTGTTCAGCCTTAAAAGAAGAGTATTAAAAAATCTTAATCAAACGTCTTTCACAAAAGAAATATTATTTCCGATATTAGCAATAGTATAGTTTCTCATATTTCATATACCTTCAGCTTGGTCTTAATTAAATTATTCTAATTTTTCATTAAAGGGATTTTATTTGTTTCGGATGTTTTATCCTGTAGAGTATCTCAGATAGCATCATTTAAAAAAAACACTTCCTATTTCTTGATATAGAATTTGAAGGACCAGGTTAGGGACTGATCTTCCTAAAGAATATTTATAAGGTTACTAAAAGTCAACACCAGCTTGATTAATACATAATCGGTCAATCAGTTCCTTTATATATGGTTCTAGGGGGAGTACTCAGTATTGAAAAACAGAAAGTAAAAGAGGATTTCAAGGAAATGGTGAATTAGAGAAAACTCTATAATATTATTGCCTATAATAATACCTTTCTCTGCTATTTTAGTAGTAGTAATCCCAATTGGTCTCTTCTTCATAGAATTGTATTAATGGTTGGTTTTTATTATGTGTTTTTTTTATACCACCCATAGTCATATTGTGTAAAATGGACAGATGAATGAATGAATGAATGAATGAATGAATGAATGAATGAAAATATATTGATGATCTCTAATATAGTCCATATTCAGTCTCCTTTGATTGGGATGAATCAGGACTTATAAGAATCGGGACTTATTAAGATAAACATGAGTCTGCTCTGCCCTAAAATATTTTCTCCTAAACATATTGTAGATCTGGTGCTTAAAAGTTGGGTAGATAAGTAGACAACCAATGGTAGTACTCTAAGTTTACCAGTGACATAGGGCAAAGCTATAGATGGTCATCTACATGCTTAAACAGCAACGATAAAGTTGAAACATGGCTATTTAAACCTGCCCATAGGAAACTAATTAAGGTAGGCATTTCAGAGCAGAAATGCCTTTATTGCTGTTTAAGCGTATCACATACCTGCTGGCCATGATTAAGGAGGAAAATGTAGGTCAGATATTGTCTTGATCACAAAATGGCTGTGATAATCCTTTTCCAGCAGGGCTGGACATACTGTTAGGCAGAATGAGGTTGATAGCTCAAGTAGTAAAATAGGGGAATAATGAAAGGTTGGTAATGGTTATTTATTAAACGAATTAATAACTATGTTTTTAATGTCAGGGATGGTAGAGGTCCTTGTAGCAATTACAATTCAGAACAAACTATCCTGGATCATCCAATAGAAATTCTTGGAATTATTAAACAAAGATTTTCTATTAAACATAGGAACAAGGCTTGTGAGATCATAAATTTAAGCTATAACCATCCGGCTTGAGTTATTTGCTTCAGTCCTCAGCTGCACAGAGATTGACAAAATTACCTACTGATAATTTTAGTAGCTTTACTAAAAGCTGTAAAAGCTACTTATTTACATTTTAGTAAATAAGGGAGAAATGATTTGTTTATGTTTGGGGATAAAAAACTGATTGTAAATTGGAGAATTTTAAGGGTGACATCCTATTCATATTTGCAGGATTGTCTATCTGTGTTTAGAGTTACCATATGTATATAGCATAAAGCTGGTTCAAATCATGTTATTTTAATTAGAGGAAGAAGATATACTATGGATTGGGAATATTATCCATATTTGCATTAAATACTCAATCTACGTACTAGATACCATTATTCCTAGACTCTCACAAGTGTGTTTTTAAAAATCACTTCACTTTCAAGAACAGAGTTGTTTTGAAAATGTATACAATTGTGTATGAGGAGCAGGGATGAAATCCAGCAGGTTCTGACAGGTTCTGGAGAACCGTTAGCGGAAATTTTGAGCAGTTCAAAGAACCGGTAGCGGAACTTTTGAGTAATTCGGAGAACCAGCAAATACCACCTCTGGCTGGCCCCAGAGTGGGGTGGGAATGGGGATTTTGCAGTATCCTTCTCCTGCCATGCCCACCAAGCCACACCCACAGAACCGGTAGTAAAAAAAATTGGATTTCACCACTGATGAGGAGGTAAACAAAGATTCTGAGCCCAAGGAAGCCAAGAGAAAAAAAATTCAGCTCAATACATTAGTGTCCCAATTTCAATCTAGATCCTGCATATTTTTTCTAATTAAATTATATCAAACTGCTATAGACATTCAAAATAAGCCATTCTCTTTTTTTAAAAAAAGTAATGTGTTTCTTTCCTAGGAATATTTAGAAATGTTTGTTTTTTTTAAAAAAATCAGAATGTATTAAATGCTGGGGAAAAAAGATGAGTAATCCTGTATGCAAAAAAAATTTGTTCTCTAATGCATTTATTTGTATTCACCATTGTTTTTTTAAAAAAATTCAGCCATGTCCCTTGGGACTAGAGATGAATCGTAGGATCTGCTTGAGGAAATAGATTTAAATCCTACAGGAATGTTCTATAAAAAGACACTGAAGTAACATTATTCTCTGAACAGCTTGCTAAATGGTATCATAATGGACAGTATTCCCCACTTCCCCGAGGACAAGAATAAATAGCATCAATCTAATAATTTCTTTTCTAACAGATTATGACAAAGAAGATGAGAATTCCATGGACAACAACAGGCATTGTCAGGCCATCGAGAAACATTATGTGGAAAAGAGAAGCAGGTCATCATCTTATGTGTCATCTACAGATGATGAGCAGAAACCTTTGTTTTCTGAGATCATAGGCTACACAGCTGGACTAGGCAAGGCTGCAGTGTTGGATTTTGAGGAAATGGTGAATGCAACAGAAAGAATCCAAAGTGATCAACGGAGCCACTCCTGTAAAGGTAAACCCAACAAAGTCTTTTGCCAAAGGTATTCAGATTTAAGAAGTCACGGGACATGGTTAGAATAATCAGACTTTTAACCTTCTAATCAAACATCTCCTTGAAAATAGCAATAGCACTTCGACTTACATACCGCTTCACACTGCTTTACAGCCCCCTCTAAGCAGTTTACAGAGTCAGCATATTGTCCCCCAAAAGTTTGGGTCCTCATTTTACCCACCTCAGAAGGATGGAAGGCTGAGTCAACCTTGAGCCTGGTGAGATTTGAACTGCCAAATTGTAGGCAGCTGGCAGTCAGCAGAAGTAGCCTGCAGTACTGCATTCTAACCACTGTGCCACTGTGGCTCATCTCAAAATAGCCCTTGAGATTAAGTTTATCTCATTTTAGCAGTTAATTTCTTCAACCCTTAGAGTGTTTTAAAAGATATGATATTATCTTCAATAGATAGTAGCAGAATGGTCATCTTTAAACTGACCATAAAACTCCCAACAGCAAAGGGGTTTTTAATCTCTTTGTTATATACAAAAGATGAGCAGCATAGTGGTCTAGTGGTGAAAATACTCGCCTCCCAGTCAGAAGGTTGAGAGTTCAATCCTAATTGGTGGTTGATGTTTCTCTCTGAGGGTGCAAAGAAAAAATAATCTGCTGCAAACTCTGCATAGGCATAAGGAAGGGCATCCAGCCAGTAAACGCTCAGCTTCATCCAGTTCCCCAACTCTACCCCGAATTAAGAGATTACAGAGTCGTAAAAAGGAGTTATTTATATATACAAAAGATTCAGAAATTGCCTGAAAGCTATAGAGCAGGCAAAAAAAGAGAAGAAAACTATCCTGTCTTAACAAATCTGCCATATAAAAAAAGCTTATTTGAACCAAGACATAATATTTAATATTCCGTATCCTTCCAAGGTGGGTAAAATGAGGATCCAGATTGTTGGGGGCAATATGCTGACCTCTTATACCTCTTAGGGCTGTAAAGCACTGTGAAGCGGTATATAAGTCTAAGTGTTATTGCTGGTGCTATTCAAAGCCAGCTTTTCTGTCAGAGAATTATAGCTGAACCAAATAAGATAAGAGACCATAGGAAACCATCTGTCCATAAAGTGTAATACAGTACAAAGATTGGAACTTCCCATACAATGCAGTTTCTCAAACATTTCTGGTATAACATTGGTGAGTTTTGTTCAAGAAACTAAGATTAGACTAATGAATGATCTGATCGCAGAAATCTCATGTCTTGTTTCATTTGGTGCTGAGTCTTCGGTTTCTGAAATTAGCCTGTTCCTGTGAAGCCTGAAAACTTGATAGCTCTGACCCAAATTAATGACAGCTGTATTGCTCCACCTGTTGGGAAGGAATCATGCTACCATCCCGTTGTATAAATTAGCTATTATGCTGCTGTTGTTTTAAGAAGTGATAAAGTTGAGTCATAAATAGTCATTGGGGGTTTTTTGCCACTCTGAATTAAGCGAGAGATGCTCAAATATTGCAATTTAGGTTTCAGACACCATTCCAAATTTCAGTATGTAGCAAACATTTACCACGTAAGATCAGCACTGAATCAATTTTGCCTCATTATTAATCAGATATATAAATTATCTCCTAGCCATTTCATTATGGAATCTTATTGCCAGAACTGTAAGACTGTTGATTAGGAATAACTGAAATGCATGAAGATATGCAAAACATCAAGAGTTCTGTCCCTGCAATATTTCTACACATCCCAATGGATGTGTGTTTTGTTGATTTCTCTCCTTGTATGAATATTTCTGCATACAGAACTTCAGTTTTTAATCCCATATCACTTCATCAAATATCAGGTTACATTAGACCTGGGCATTTTACGGTCCCCGGGTCACATCTGGACCTTTAGCTTTCTGTCCAGCCTGCGTAGACTGCTTTTATTTTGAAGGCGACTACTATTTTGTGTGTGTGTGTGTGTGTGACTGCGCACCTTCACAGCCCTATTGGTTCAGCCCTCCACGGCAGTCTCAGTTTCTCATGTGGTTCCTTGGGAAAATTAATTGCCCTCCCCTGAGATACAGAGAGAGAGAGAGAGGTAGAGCCAATAATGACATTCATCTACCCATAAATTCCCAGTGACTCAGACCTTTATAAATATTACTAATATATATTTGCAATTTGGAAGCTCACCTTTTCCCCATTTGGTTGCTAGAAATATATCTCGCAGCTATGGCAACACTTTCCAAGGCAACCTAGCAAAACAATCTTCTCTGGGCTATATTTAGCTATTTTCAGGAGTGTTTTTACTGTGGTCACACACGAACCCAAATAAAATGTCCTTGTTCTTTGGGACACTTAAGAAGTCATCGTCTTTTCTCACTCTTTTTGTGTGTGTGTGTGTGTCTGCCTGCTTTTAATAATGTTGCATCTAATCAGCAGCATTCTTGTTTGTTCTTGTTAACTGAACTAATTAACAAAATGTGGATGTTTTCTAAACGTACTGAGTATGCAGTGTGTAACGATATTTACGTATGCTGGTAGATATGATACTGATAGGTTCATCAGTTTTAGTGATTGTGAGGGGGGAAAAAGCCTAATGATGTGATACTTCATTGTTAATATCCAGGGTAAGGAGTGATATTGGCATTACAGTGGATATTTTTTCCTCACGATGGAAAACCGTCTGCATTCATGTGAACTTGCCTGAACTCTCTGAATGGTTTCAGAGGCCTTTGCAAAAAAGCCTGCCAGAAAAATGAATTGGACTGGTGAGCTCCTGCCATGGTGCCCAGCTCTATTATTATAGAAGTGCCTGATTTTGATATGTGTACCTAAGACTCCATAACTGCTTTTAAAAAGACCTGAAAGACCTGGTTGTTTACAGTTACTTTACTTGTTTTAGAACAGTCCATGAAGCTTACTGGTTTTTCGATGACATGACTTCTATTTCTGGACCATAGATGGCAGCAAAGAGGATCTTTTGTATCTTTTGCTACTATCTAGAAGTTATTCAGATATTTGCAGATCAGATAGGATCAGCTCTTGCTGATGTTTGATCTTGTTGAGCATTTTTATTTCAGTCTTGTTTTTCCATTTGTTTTGTGACAATATTTTTAAGGTGTGAAGAGAACATAAGGAAAAGGCTGTGCACCTTGAGAGCTCATATATAAATATTTATATAAAGAAACCAGTTTTTTAAAGTATAAATAAAATGCTTTGACTGAATAAAAGCAAACGTAACCCTAGGAAATTACAGTCTGTGGAAAGGAGTGTAACTAAGGCGTATGGTTGGGTTTTGTTTGGGGAATGTCAAAGTTTTCTTCCTTGTACTTCTGCTTTTCTTTCCTGGAAATGAAAATGATGCAGAGGAATTGATTCAGAGCAAAAAGATAAATAAAGGAAAAGCTATTATTTTCCATCTGTTTTTTGAGGCTGAAAATTGCATTGTTGGGCAACTGCTGTTGATCGATCAATAACCTAGATAGGAAGACAGATCAGTCAGTATCTGACTATTTTTTCCCAGATTTCCCCCAATCAACAAACAGTGTGCCCTGCTTCATAATATGTCCATAGATGCTTCTTCTGTTGTACTGTCACCCTACAAGGTAGACCAGATTAAGAAACAAATACCATATAGGTCAGGACTACTTTTACTGTAATAAAATTTGGCAAGTCTGAATGTGCTTCCCCCTCCCTCACTTTATCTTCATATGAACTAAGAAGGGGCTTGTCTGAGACGTTTTCCCAAATTAGTTTCTTGGAACCAGCTCAATTCCTGTTTATCTAATTATTGTCTTGGTAACAATAATTGTCCTTCACAGCCATTCCTTATTCCCTTTACTTGCAATGTATTCAAAAGTACTAGTAGCAGTAGCAGATCTCAGGCTTGTTCAAGATTATATGTGTTTGTCCTAAGCCGCTGTGGCTGTTCAGGCTCTCTCAGCTCAGATGCTTTTATCATCAGCTGCTTTTTGCAAGGCCCTCTATATCGCAACACTGTAAGAGAATGATCTGATCCAGACTTCCACCTCAATTAGCCACTAATATCTGGATATTTAATCCCAAACCAGTTATTCTGGCTGTCATTGTCTGTCATCCTTAATCAGCCCCAGCATCTCTATCAATAAACTTGCTCAGTTTCACTGAGAATGTCTGATGCCCAGAGATCATGGGGAAAAAATATTCTCCTGTAACTATAGTTCTTTTTGTGGTAGTCTGTGCATTCACACAATCCATCCATCTTCTCCACGTTAAATGCCTACCGTGGCAAGGAATCTGAGATGCTCTGAGAATCTCAACCATTCAGAGGGAACAAGGGAGGAAATAAACCCAGAAGTATCTGGATAAGGGATTGTACTTTCCTTCTCAAAACTTGCTTTAGCTCTTCAAAATTCTAAGAGTGGCTTCTGCACAGGGAAATTAGCCTTGTGTGTGAGTGTGCTGGTGGCAGGCGAAAGTCTACAGTAACAGATAAGCAACCTCTTCGTATCGCATGGATTAGAAATATAAGAAACAGACATAAAATAGGCTATCTGCATTAGGCTAACTTTCACTTTCATTCACCGTTTTGACTGGCAGATCTCAGAGACAGAAGAACCTGGGAGGAAGATCAGAGCAGAAGTCACCAAGAATCATCCTGTCCATCCGCATTACCTCATGTCACCTGGGGAATCTCTGAAACAGAAAGTGAAATCAACTATGGTGAAGTGGAACAGAGGCTAGATCTACTTCAAGAGCAACTCAGCAGGTAACTCAAGAGCATGAAGAAAAAAAGCAAAGCTGGATTTTCAGTAGCTTTGATATTGACAGTAATGTTGACATCTCTCTTTTTTTCAAACTAGATCCATGCCACTGAATAATATAACACTATTATGTAGAGTCAAAATGGCCTGAGGATGAAGATAAGAAGCATCCTCTTGTGGCTACCAGTAGTAAATGTAGTTTTTGTGCATATGTCAGTTTTGAACTGGGGATTTCCTTCTTTATAGTGTGATCTTTTAGCTCCATATCAGCATATAGCTTAACCTGGCCTGTCATGTGTAGAGTTTTCCCAGCAATCAATCTACTGTTCTCACTGATAAACACACACACACACACACTTACCTATTTTTGCTCGTTAAACATCTTCCCAAACCATGATGTGTTTGGTTGGTATTACCTTCCTGAACGTTTTATGGTGTGATTTTTAGGTATTCAGTACTCCATGGAATTCCTCTACTGTTCGTTAAGCTGTCGAAGATCATTTTGGCATTTTTTGTAACTCTTGATTTGTTTCCAGATCTATCAGTGAGGAGCAAAACTTGTGCCCTAGTTACATTTTTCTCAGTTCAAGTCCCACTTTACCCACATTCCTTGGGAACAAAAAATAGCATATCCACAGCGATCTCACATATTAACTTCATCAAAACTAGGACAAAACTTGGACAGCTGCTAGCTCAAGGAGCTTCTCAAAGATCCTGAATTAGAAAGTAAAGTTTAGTTCATTATTCTGAAGGGTTCTTGGCTGAGTCAAAGAAATATACCAAAGCTGTTCCATTTATAGAGGAATTAAATAAACATTTTTATGGAAACTAAGAACAGTTTCATGCTTCAGTTGAATAGTTCGGTGATCTAACATTGTAGTGGAGATCTCTAACTGGGCTGTGGTTTCAAATGTGGATGCTTTCACTTTTTAAGAAACATTTGAAATAAAGATTGTAGCAAATGCAGCTAGTGAAAGACAACAAAGCAGATTTTCCAAGTTAACAGCAGTGCACTCAAAGGCTTGCAGAGACTTGTTAGAGGAAATCAGGCAATACATAAATCAAACTGTTACAAATGAATGAAATTAAAGCTGTTTTTTGCTACATTGGTTGACAGGGTTATTGAGGAAGAAAATCTATTGACCAGCATAAATTCATTGTGAATTCATAAAATGACAGCGAATCCAAGAGAGAGTATAGCAACATGATTGTGACTGTACACCATTAATATCTGTTCAGCAGATTTTTTTTAAAAAAAAAATCCTTCAAAGAAAAAAGTCACAGGCATATCAGGAGATGACAGAGTGGGTGGGAGTAGTTAGCAAATATTCCTGTCAACATAAATAAGATTTGTTCATCCAGCCATTTCACTGTTGTAATTGCCCCTCACTGGGATATCCCTTCGAATGCTTACCAAGGAGGATTCAACTCTTGAGCTGAAAGAGATCATCAATTTTTGTCAAGCAGTATCTTATGTGCAATCGGATCAATCATGTTTTATTGATTATTAACACTATTATTTCAATTGTAATTTTATTCTTGAAAGCTGCCCTGAATGCCATGAAGCAGTAGAACAGAAAAGAACTTTTAAGTACATGCATTTACAATCAATTTATATGATATCCGATGTACACATTTGAGTATTAAAACCAACAGATTAAAAACAACACAAAAGAAAAATAAGGCTGACCCACAGTCAATCAAGTTTCAAATCACCATAGATGGGCTCATCCAGCATGTGGCCCCTCTCTGGGGGAAAATCAAGGCCTTCAAGACCAATGGCCAATGCCATCAGGACCATCCAAATCTTAAGGGGAAGACTATTCCAGAGGGCAGGTACTACAACAGAGCATGTCTTCTGGGTCCACCACATGATTCTGTTTTATAGAGGAGATACATGCCATGTCCACCCTGTTGGATCTCATGGGGTGGATAGAATCAATAAGTGATAAGTACTCTACAAGACCCAGTCCTATACTGTACCATGAAGGGCTTTATAGGTGATAATCCGTACCTTAAATTGTATCCAGAAGCCTAAATAATCATTGTAGAAAGTCTAGCAACATCTATTATGGTTATTCTTTCTGTGGATGATTGCCATGTCACTCTGTTGGTTCTCTTTTGGAGTAATTAATGAGCAGCCTATCACATGAAGAGCCAGTTTGGTCTAGTGGTTAAAGCATCAGGTTAAAAACCAAGTACCATGAGTTCTAGTCACACCTTAGGCGTGAAAGGCAGCTGGGTGACCTTGGGCCAATCACTCTCGGACAAACCCAGTTAATTTGTGGGGGAGATAGGAGGAGGAAGGAGTATAGGCATGTTTGCACCTTCGGTTATTTATACAAAATAAAAAGGGTGGGAACAAATAAATAAATATACCGCATTGCATTTAATTCCAGGACTGTTCATTTTTCTGTTTGGAGAACTATGTTGCTGCCAAAGGAAAAAAATAAGTGGCTAAACATCTATTCCTGCCATTCCAGATACTATTTATGAAGCTTTTCAAGGCTTCAGAGGTTGCTTTGCTTCAACAAATATCGAATGGAAGCAGCTTTTTAAAGTGAAGCGCTGAATCGGAACAGGACTCTGTATCAGTGCATTAGGATTGGTGTGCTGCTTTGATCTTGACAATAAAAAAAATGCACATGCAAAAGACTTCTTTTTCCTCTAGATCAAGACAGTCGATTAAAGCAAATCAGTCCACTTCAATGCTTTGATTTAAAGCACTGAGTCAAGCTGATTTGCTCTTTGGAATTATATTCCAGCCAAGCTACACACATTTAATATATCCCTTTTGCAAAATATTGTATAGATTAGATTTCTTTTCTATGTATTTTCTACATTCCATCGTCTCACATTGTCAGGGGTGTCGAACTCGATTTCATTGAGGGCCGCATCAGGGGGGCCAGGTGGTCATGGTCAGTTCGACATCACTCATGTTGTGGGCATCTGGGTGGCCTGGGCAGGGCTGGGGGGATCCTTTGCCAGTGAAAATGGAGCTCGTGACCTCCCGGGCTCCGATTTGCTGGCAGAGACACTGCGGGCCAGTCCTCCGCTGTTTCCAAGGTGGCCCCGCAGGCCAGAACTAAGCACCCCACAGGCCGGATTCGGCCCACAGGCCTTGAGTTTGGTTTAATACATTATGTAAGGCTGTGTTGGTTAAGGACCATGCTTTTGGCATTCTTCAAGTCTGAATAACTTGTCTGAAATGGTTGCCTGGTCAAGCAGGAGGTTGGACTGGAAGACTTCCAAGGTCCCTTCCAACTCTGTTGTTCTGCTAAATATTTCTGTTAAGTAAGATTAAGAGATGCTGAATGCTCATATAGCCTACTCCAATGTGTACTTGGATCCACGTCAGAGAATTCAGAACATATCTGTTTCATCCAATAGCATTATTGTTTGTTTGTTTTTAAATGGCTATTACGGTCAAAATAATAATGTGGAACAATCCCCAGAAAAGTATGAGGCATGACAAAATATGTTTATTCTCAGCTTACTACCAATTGCATGAGCATCTAGCATATTTTGTCTACATTTCAGAGCAGCCAAATCAAATGTACCCAAAAACTAATATGAAAAATATTTGGAAACTTTTTTTTTTACCAATCTACACATTTCTGGTACATAACTATGGCAATGTTTTGTTGCTTTCTCAGCATCAGCAAAGTATCTGAAGTTATTTGGAACTCTTTTATGCAGTCAATTAATACAGGAGATAGCATTCTTTGAAACTGATTTAATTTTTAAACATTTATATTAATTGATACAATTAATTGAAAGCTATAACTGCATAAATGCAGATTAGCATAACCACAAAGTTAATAAGCTAGCAATAAAAAATTAAACAGGGAAAAGAAAGGAGGGGGGGAAGTCTCAGTAAAAAATTGTCCCGTATGCTCAAAAAAAAAAAGTTGGCTTGTATTAACTTAATTACACTTTGTTTAATTTGAGCTTCTACTGATTTATTAGAACAGGACTTCCAAGCTGATGTAAATAGCTAATATCAGCTTCATTAACTATTTATTAAGTAAGTTATTCACTTGGAAACTAGAGATAATCTCTGCACAGCCTTTGTGGAGCTTCAGAAGTAGCAATTGCATCACAACAAATGTCAAAGTTGAATATACAGCCAAGAAGTACTCCACATGAAATGAAACTCATTTTTTTTTTAATTCTGGAAAGCTTGTAAGAACAGCTTCGTATTTAACACTGATCTAAAGTTGTAATACACAGAAGTGTACAAACTAAATTTAGGATGTGCAAACTAAATTTAAGAAAGGCAGAAGCAGCTCAGTATCACATTGCTAGCATCTGATGGATAATAGGACAGGCAAAGAGGTTTGTTTAAAGACTATTTTTGCTTTATTGATTACACAGTGGCTTCTGGTTGGATAGTCCACAACAAATTATTGGATAGTCCTTAAAAAGATGGAAGTCTGGGTCAACTACCTGCTTCTTCAAGAATTTATATAGTGACTAGCAAGCACAGTTAGAATGCAATATGAAATAAGTAAATGGTTCAAAATTGGGAAAGGAATGACAAGACTATGCACTGTTATTTAATTATATACAGAATGTATTGTGAGAAATAATGCAGTAGCAAAAACAGAAGGTGAAATTAAAGTTGTGGGGGGAAATATTGACAATACAAGCATAATACAAGCCGCCCTGAGTCTTCAGAGAGGGGCAGCATACAAATTGAATTAATAAATAAATAAATAATAAACTTATAATAAGTTTAGAGTCCCTTGGGAGTTGGGTGGCATAGAAATGCGACAAAATAAATAAATAAATAATCCTTTTTAAAAATATGGTAAACCCATCTTTGGTAAAAAGGACTCTATCCAGTGGTGGGATTCAGCCGGTTTGGGCCAGTTTGGGTGAACCGGTAATTAAATTGCTGGCTGGCCCCATCCCGCCCCTTCCAGGAGTCCCCACGTGCTCCATTTTGGCTCCCAGATAAGTGCAGGGAGGCCCCAAACGGGGTACGGAGGGGGTGGCATGG